ATTCGTTTTGGTACAGAGTGGGACAAGTAGGGGGTGATGTTGCTGTAGTCGAACGGTGAGACGGACGTGTAGTTCAGTTTTGGGCACGCGTACGGTGCTGCAGGGATTATATATAGGTGTAGTAGTACCTCTTCGGGCTCTTGTACACCTTTTTCTTGCTACGTGTGCGTGTTCTTTAGATCCTCAGATGGCTCCAGCACTTTCGTGACCACGGGCCGAGAGTCTTTGCTAGATTGTGGCATTTAGCAACTGGCATACGGTTTAATGTGAAGTCAACAACAACAACAACAATCCCATCCGTGCGCATGTCCACCCGCCACATTTGAGCACGATTCCCGGACCAACATGGCCGGAGCCCTCTGGACGAACTTCCACGGCTGACTGGCTGGCTACAGATATTGTAGCGTACCTCTCGGGAGAAATATATGTAGGTTCTCATGACTGCGCGTAGTGACAACGGCAACAACCCAAACCAACACGACCGCTGCGATTTGCCGATCGCTTTGTCAAACCCTTCATGTTACTGATGATTGGCTGTCTCCCACTGTGACGGCAACCAGAGATGCAAAGCAATCGCTGCCAGAGGTCACGTATTGTTCCCCCGCTAGACTACTGCTGTACTGCGCACACCGAGTTGCTCCACGCTGTGTCTCGACCACAAGACGCGGCCCCTGTCCACCCTTGAGGAAAAGAGGCAGCAGCCATGGGCACGGATGGGATTGTTCCGGAGAAGGTTCGTCGGGCTCCGAACCGTTCCGACAAGCTGCGCACCACGTTGATTGATGAGTTCCGTCCTCTCCACACTTGCACTCTCCCACTCCTCCCCCTCCACACTTCACACTCTCCCCCGCTCTCCGCCACAGCTCAATCACCACCCGCCTGACAACAAAATCTTCAAAGGGACACCACACCAGAATAGTATAGTGATGGCCTCCGTGAATCAGAGCATCGGCTTCCTCGAGGACTCCCTCGTCAACAGCGAGTGCGTGAGAGACGAGCAGCACAACGAACGCGTGTCTCACATGATTCAACCAACTGGTGAAAGAACGGCACGTCCTCACGCAGGACCAGAAACGGGGTATTGTGTCGTCTCGAAAGAATTCAAGGATGAGGAGACTTCGCAAAGTGAAGAAGGAGAAGCTGGAGGGCTTCCCTAATAGGTCCCAAGGCGTTCAAGGCTGATCGTATCGGTGACAGGACCCTCTACAATTGGGCAGATGGAGGCACTGCTGTCTTGACCACGTTAGAAGGGTTGGACTCTGAATATGTATTGTTCACGCCTCTGAACATCATGTCGCCATCGTCCGTGGAAATGATGTCAGCGATGTATGATTTCTCGCAAGAAGTCCCTCACTTTAGGACCGGAGGAGCTCGATGGGACTTCCCGGGATCAAGTGTTAACGCGGGTGAACTGTTTGCGATTGTCAACGAAGTTGATCTGAGGGTCAACATTTTCAGGGTCGATGGGATCTTGGACTCGGAAACAGGGCGCAGGGTGCACTGGGATATCTTTGGGCACAGTACCAGGAACGTAGCCGTGCTTTCTCCTTACATGGACGCATGTCGTTTGGAGACTGGAAGACTTTTGTGCCTCCAAAGGCCCTTGGAACCATGCGTCGCAAGATCACGATTGACAACAAGATGGCAGATCGCAAGACCAAGGCTGAAAGCATCTAGACTCGATTCGATGTATATGTTGTAGTCTAGTAGTCTAGGACGATTTGTTTTTTGTGTATCTTGCAGTCTCGTCAATTCACAAAGGCTACCTCGTGGTACACGTTTGTCTGACGCGCCATACACCGAAGTTGTGGGCGAATAGTTTGTTACGATAGTCGAGATTATTGTCCATGTTCTTTTCCCTTCCACTCGGGAGTTGCAATGGATTTTTCATGCTGTAGACTGTTCTAGACTATACATATCATTTTTCATTAAAAAAATACTGTTCTACAAGTCAGGAATTTTAGTACAAGTACATGTGGGATACCTACGGCGGGCAGTACGGTGCCCGATAGCATGTTGTGAGATATGTAGAATGGCTCAAGATTCAAGGTAGTCCTGTGTGGTTGGCCCTTTCAAGGATAGTATTTGCAAGCGTGCGTGTAGTTCCCGCCCTGGCCAAGAGTTCGTCCAATCCACTGAGTGAATCAATGCGGGTGTGTATCATACAAATATGCGTCACAACGGGTGGATTGCGTGCCGTTAATCCTTGATGCGTGCCATCCGGTCTCGGTGCCAGCAATTGGTGGCGTGTGTGACATGTGCCGAGTTCCATTTCTTCTCGCGGCCGAGGATTCTGCCAATCCGCTGGGTCAAGTCGATGCCTCCAATGGGGGGTTGTTGTGTGGTTTGGCCCATAGTTGTATACGCCATGCTCAAGGGGGAGATGGAGGAAGTGTGTCTTTTTCCCATTCGGAGCACTCACACATGGAGGATGGTACACGAGCGAAGCGCAGCACGAGATTTCCGAAGCGTCTAGGGAGATAAGAGTGGCCCAGCAGCAGCTGCGCGGGGCCTCAAAGAACAGCGACTTCGAGACGACCCTGAAGGCGAAGCTCAAGGCGGCGCGGAAGAAACGCAGCAGCGCGAGGTGGAGAGCACTGGAAAAGTTCTTCGAGGGCTATGTGAGGCAGCTCGAGAAGAAGAGCCGTGAGGGGGACCAGGCGGGTTTCTACAGGCACCTGAAGATGATCGACGTCGAAGGTAAGA